TTGAAAATTTCTAAATTTTGTTTTTATAACATATAATTAGTATTCTAATTATTATTATCATTATATCATTACTACTAATGACATATAGGTCGGATCTCCTTATTCTTAAGACAATTAAGCAGTCAGTTGAGATGAGAAATAGCGTTTGTCATAGTGCAACAATATATGCTAATGCAATTATGCATGCTGGAACAACTGTTGATACATTTCTTCGGGAAAATCTGGTAAATTATGTTACGGCTTTAGCTTAATAGTGTTGTGCATATTTTATACTTAATCTAACTTAAAGTTTCACATTTATCAGGACTGGCTCAGCAGGGCAACCAATTGGGCCAAATTTAGTGCAACAGCTGGACTAGGCGTTATTCACAGAGGTCATTTGCAGCAAGGCAGATCTCTGATGGCCCCGTACTTGCCACAGAGTGGGGCTGGTGGAGGTGGGAGTCCATATTCAGAGGGTGGTGCTTTATATGCTTTAGGGTTGATCCACGCCAATCATGGTGAGGGTATTAAGCAATTTCTTCGGGATAGCTTGCGGAGCACAAACGTTGAGGTACTCTTACTTCGTTTGGTTGAATGTTGATTGCTGTTTTACTCAATAAAATCTCCAATTTTCTATATGTGAGATCACTTGATGCAGGTTATTCAGCATGGCGCTTGTTTAGGTCTTGGGCTAGCTGCTTTGGGCACTGCAGATGAAGACATCTATGATGACATCAAGAATGTGCTTTACACTGACAGTGCTGTTGCTGGTGAAGCGGCCGGCATTGGCATGGGTTTACTGATGGTTGGAACTGCAAGTGAGAAGGCAGGCGAGATGCTTGCTTATGCTCATGAGACCCAGCATGAGAAAATTATCAGGTATCGACATCCCAAATGATCCACATTATTTGTACACTGACCGTTTATCAATTATTTTGAGTTAACATTTTTTAAGTTCATAGGGGGTTAGCATTGGGGATAGCCCTCACTGTTTATGGACGGGAGGAAGAAGCTGACACATTGATTGAACAAATGACTCGGGATCAAGACCCAATATTGCGTTATGGTGGCATGTACGCATTGGCATTGGCATATAGAGGAACAGCAAATAATAAGGCTATCCGCCAGTTGCTACATTTCGCCGTGTCTGATGTCAGTGATGATGTTAGACGAACTGCTGTGTTGGCTCTTGGATTTGTTCTTTATTCTGAACCAGAGCAGGTTGGTGCCTTTTCCGGCCGCTGTACTCCAATTTCGATCTTGACAAATTGGGATTTGTCAATCTTTGAGTAACATTTTTTGGCATTTGATCCATTATTTTGCAACGTTATTTCCTTTACCTGAAAATTTTCAGTTTTCCATAAATTGCTCTTTGTTATGTTGAATTTGCAGACGCCCCGTATTGTTTCTCTGCTATCTGAGTCTTACAATCCTCATGTGCGATATGGTGCTGCATTGGCAGTAGGGATTTCTTGTGCTGGTACTGGCTTGAGTGAAGCCATATCACTATTAGAGCCTTTGACTTCAGATGTCGTTGACTTTGTTCGTCAGGGTGCTCTTATTGCAATGGCTATGGTAATGGTTCAAATTACTGAAGCCAGTGATTCACGAGTTGGTACATTCAGGTACTCAAGTATTGCCACATCCTCTACTTTTTTGTTTAAACATCGGTAGGGTACTGTTTTATGTTGTCATCATCAGTGTTTTTATAATACTCCTATAATATTTGCATAGGCGGCAACTGGAGAAAATTATACTGGATAAACATGAAGATACCATGAGTAAGATGGGTGCTATATTGGCCTCTGGAATACTTGATGCTGGAGGGAGAAATGTGACCATAAAGTTGCTTTCAAAGACAAAACACGATAAGATCACTGCAGTGGTTGGGCTTGCGATCTTCAGCCAGTTTTGGTACTGGTACCCGCTCATATATTTCATCAGCTTGGCTTTCTCACCCACTGCTTTTATTGGGCTGAATTATGATCTCAAGGTCCCAAGATTTGAATTCATGTCGCATGCCAAGCCCTCGCTGTTTGAGTATCCCAAACCAACAACTGTACCCACAACTGCATCTGCAGTAAAACTCCCCACTGCAGTTTTATCTACCTCTGTAAGAGCAAAGGCCAGGGCTAGTAAGAAAGAAGCAGATAAAGCAAATGCAGAGAAAACTTCTGGAGCTGAATCATCCTCTGCTTCTTTGAAGGGGAAGTCAAGTGCTGACAAGGATGGGGAATCTATGCAGGTAGCAATAGTCATTCTCTTGTTCGGTGCTTAAATGAATTGTTTCTGCTCCTACTCATTCTTTCATTCCATGTTTAATACATTGTCAGTGCTTGCTAAGTTGCTATTACACAACATTTTGGTTTAAATTCCTGCATTTTTTTGTTTTCATCCCAGCTACTAGGAAGGACTATCCAATTATGTTATGTAAATAAATTAGCGTTTTGACAAAATAAGATGACGTGAAAAGCATGACAAAATCCTGTTTTGTTGTCAATGGATGTAACTCCTCCTCCTCCTCCTCCTCATCACCCCAGTGACGCAAAGGCTTCCACCAATGGTGGGGTAGGGGGGGTCGGATGTACACAGTCTTACCCTTGTACTAAAGCTCAATGAGACTGTCAACGGATGTAACTAGAGTACTAAAAACAAAACTGTTAATAACATGGGTAAAAAGAAAATATAGTTTCGCAGGAAGCTAAACAAAAAACACTATACTTGTAGGGACTAAAAATATATTTTAGGCATTGTTAAATATGGTGCAATGCTTTTGTAGCTCATCAGTTGTGTGTGCATTTATTGTTTTTGGGGTACAGGTAGACACTCCCCTGGAAAAGAAGACAGAGCCTGAACCATCTTTTGAGATTTTGACAAATCCCGCCAGGGTGGTCCCAGTGCAGGAGAAGTACATTAAATTCTTGGAAGATTGCAGATATGTTCCCATGAAGTCTTCTCCTTCAGGATTTGTGCTAGTAAAGGATCTTAGGCCTGAAGAACCCGAAGTCCTTTCCCTAACGGATGCTCCTTCTACAGCGTCAAATGTTGCTGCTGCTGCTGGGTCTGCAGCCACACCACAGGGCTCAGCTTCTGCGATGACTGTTGATGAGGAGCCTCAGCCACCACCACCCTTCGAATACACTTCATGAACTGCCATGATAGTTGATGAGTTCTAAATGAAATTGTCGTGGTGTAAAATCCCTTGGGATAAATGGAGAGCTTTTGGCCTTTTAACACTGCAGGAGCTTTAGGAGCGCCCTCCATTTGTATGGCAGTGTATCAGCTGACTTTTGGCCCTGCTTGATTCTCAGTCTTTGTGCTTGGTAGTTATCATTTGTGATTTGTGTGAATCACATTATGTTTTGTGCAACTTCTCAGGACAATGATTCAAGGGTGCATGTTAACATAGCATTTGATTTATATAGTTGAAGAATTCACCTCTATCACTCAGTACTTCAAATTTAGGGTTTGACGTTTCTTGGAGAGTTGGTTTCACTTGGCAATTTATTTTAACTTGATTATTTGATATTTGATTTCACAACATTGCATATTTGCAATTAAAAATTCGGGGGTGTTTCGATCAAATTCGTCACAAAGTGCAAAAAATTGATACATACATGAATAAAGTAAAAAATTGAAATGATTCTATTGAGAATGTATAACCGGAGTAAAAATTGTAGATGTAGATGGGAATATCTATGATATAGCATTATAGCATCCATTTCTTCATCCGGAATCTGTCCCATGATGCATGCACGGAATTGCCAGGAAATTATTACTTGAAACTAAATTTGAAACTTGGTAAAATTGTCTATCTTGTACATACCGGTAAGTTTTGAGCAAAAATTAGCAAATCAGTTGAATATATTGAATTACAAAAAATTACGTTTACCAATGTATGGAGTATTTACTAATTAATTAATTAATAATACATGCAAAAAAAGTAAAATGTCTAAAAAATAATGAGATGTAAATTTTAGTAGTTTTCTAAATTTGAAATACACGGATGTCGCACTGCTATCGCAATATAATGATTTTGCATACTTACGCTTAATGGTAAACCTGGCCCCGCTCATGTCTCAATTCCAATTCAGACTGGTTAACGACTCGGTGGTCCTTGTCCGGTCTGGTTAGCGACCCAGTTGTCCAGCCTGGTCAACGAATAGGCAGTCCCTCTCCCATCCGTTGGACGGCTAGGCAATCCCGGTCTGGTCCGACCAACAATCCGGCAATTCCTATTCGGTCTGGTCAACGACTCGGCGGTTCCTGTTCCGTTTGGTCAACAACCCGACGGTCTCTGTCCGGTTCGGTCAATGACTCGACGATCCATGTCTGGTCCAGCCAATGACTCGGTGGTCCCTATCCAGTCGACGACCGGGAGGTTCGGTCAACGTCCCAGTGTTCCTTGTCCAGTCTGGACAAAGACCCGGCGATTCGGTTCCCGTTTTTTAAAAACATTTTTTCAAAGAAAAAAGTTTCAAAAGAGTCATTGTGTTGCCAACCAATAGAAAAAAGGGAAAAGAATTAGTCGAACTAGCCGTTGGGACCGACCGGTTTCAGTCCCAGCTATCCCATTCCAAGGAACGCATAGGCTATTTGGGCTTTTACTATGTTTGATTCTAAACTAGGGTCGTACTTTCAGTCTTCTGGTAGGTCCTAGAACCGAGTGAAAAAATTTGATGAAAATATTTTCATATTTGAAGAACGGAGAATAACAAAGAAAAGCAGAAAATGTCTCTGTAGCAAATGTGTTTTTGAGAATGTCAAAATTTGAGACTCTTAGTATTTGCAATTTCCCAATAAGATATTCATTTTGTCCATCTCATATGCTACATTTCACACAATCACATGTCTCATGAAATGTTTCCTATTGTACCAAAAAACAAGCCTGATGAAAATATGAAATAGAACCTCCACTCCCATTTGAAATGTTGTGGCTTTTCTCTGTGCACCAATACCAACTTTGAAACACCCCCTACTCTACATAAGTCTAACAATCCAACTCAAAAGCAAAAGAAGCAACAAACAAAAGAGGCAGCAGAAACCCCACACTCACTCAACACTCCCTTCTAAACAAAACCCCAAACTACATAAAAAGCAGAGTATCTGTCCTCTTTGATTCCTTCTGGACTCCTGCCACTCACTCTCTTACAGTCTTACTAGATCCATTCTATTTTATCCCATTCATTATACCAAGCTTCCCCAACACCCCACATGCACTTGGATAGACGGTGGCGGCCCGGCATGGCAGAACCGCCGTCAGCGGCGGCGCTCATCCTCTGCGGCGTGCTGATGGTGATGAGCGGGTCATCAGCTGACGCGACGTGGTGCGTGGCGAGGAGCGTGGCGAGCGACGAGGCTCTACAGGTGGCGCTGGACTACGCGTGTGGGTCCGGCGCGGACTGCACCCCGTTGCAGCGGGAGGGTCTCTGTTTCCTGCCCAACACGCTGCTCGCCCACGCGTCTTACGCCTTCAATAGCTACTATCAGCGCACGGCCATGGCTCCCGGCTCCTGTGATTTCGCCGGCACGGCCACCGTCGCTAAAACTGACCCCAGTAAGTCTCCATTACACAACTCCCAACGTTACTGCTTATTTCTTGTGTCCTGGCAAGCTCGAACCCAGCAGAGTATCCCACATTTTAAATTTGCTAAGTGTTCATTTTTAAAATACTACGAAAATATATTTTAATTTCTTTTCTTCTCTTATTAGGGAGTATCTTCTTTTATTAATTGCTGGTTTAGTTTGTCATGTTTAAGTATATTCTGAATTGAATTGATCTGGTCTGGTTTATGTGTATTTTATGCAACTATGATAGTGTAGTCCGATCTGGTTTGTTTAACTTTGATTTAGTCTGGTCTAATCTAGAAATGAAAACAGACAAAGTAAAAACATTATTATTCAAAAAGTATTTAATTTTATTTTGTAAAAGATCTTTAATACATACTTTTAAAATGTCTATAATTAGTTTTACATTGTTTTAACTCTCATATTAGCCTAAAAAATCATCATCATCATAATTACCTCATTGCCTCAAAAGCTCCCATTTAAGGTGGGGTAAGGGAGGATCAGATGTACGCAGTCTTACCCCTGTGGCCTGTACTAATGCACAGAGAGACTGTTTCCGGATTACCCATAGTGCAAATCACATCGAAAATTGCATGCATTTACTGTTGCTTCGTAACAAAGAAGCACAGACAGTTTAGTGAGTCATTTTGCTTTATTTCATCATATTCCCAAGTCTAAAAAATAATAAAAGGATAAATTTAGTGCCTGTTTGGAGAAGCAAAATTTGGCTGAAAAGCCTCAAAACACATAAAAATCACCAAACATCCCTTAAATGGGCTGATTTGGCTGATTTTTATTATCAACTGAAAAAGTAGCTCAAGGCTTACTTTTTGTGCTGAAATCTATTTTATGACAATTTACTTGTTAATTGACATCTTTGTCCCATTCAATATTTTGCAAAAAGCTTTATATACGTAGCTTGTTAATATAATAAATCAAAGTGTAGTTTTTTAATCTATGTATACTATTGTGTTCAATTTATTTCCAATTAATTTACTCTATACGTAGCTTGCAAACCAGTAACTTTTATTTTTTGATGCTTCCAATTAACACTATCATTTAATTTATGTTCCCTTTTTTATTTATATGCATGTGAGGTTAAGAGTTTAGCTTGTTAATATACTACATTTAATTAATAAAAAGCGTTGTTTTTAAAATTAATTTACTCATATTAGTCAAAAGGATTTTATTATCAAAGCTACCTATGTATAGTCAAAATACAAAAATCAAATACCTTTTTGGTAATTATACATTCAATCAACCACTTCAGCCAAAACTTTACCAAACACTTTCAAATCAGCAATTTCAGAAATTCCAGCCATTGTTGCCGTTACCAAACAGGCCCTTAAATGTTACTAGTAAATTTAGACAACTGACAATAAGTTTTTTTTCTAAGTAGAGTGATTTTGAAATTAGATTGACTAAGAAACAAAATAATGCATATCGTGGGATGATAAACGAAAAAAATTGAAAGAACCCTGTGTCATATATACAAATGCTAAAAACATATTTAAGCCAAGTAATAATTTTTATTTTCTTATATCTCAAAATGGAACTCAATTTTTAAAGTAACAATTGTATGATCCAAATGATTCCTTTCATGTCTTAACAATCTTGTTCATATATTTTTGTTTTTCATTACTTTGTGTCAAGTCAAATCATAAATTTAATTTCCTACATAGACACATTAAATACTTTTTGTTCTATAGACTATATTTAGTCTATAGATGCCTGTTTTTTTTCTTTTTTCGTGATTTAAACCAAACCAGTAGTCCATTATGAATGTGTGTGCAATGGTCAACGTTGTGCTCAAAATATAATAACCAACAACATGCTAATTTTGTCTTTACTTTTTTTGTTGGTTGTAAATAGGCTACGGATCTTGCGTGTACCCATCTTCTGTGAGGTATGTTGGCTCTATAATTAATATTATTAATATTATTATAATTACTATTATTATTATAAATAGTATTATTACTACGTATTTAAAAAAATAGTAATATTACTACGTACTCGTATTATTTAGATCCCATACTTATTCTTAGTCATTGGACATTATATTTCTATACTATTCTTCCGTTTTAAAGGTGCAAACCAAGATTAAATTTCTCACGAATGACATTGATCTATCGGATTTATCATAAATCATAATGTTAGTGTGATCGTAAGATTTCTAATTGTGATTAAACCAAATGAATTAAAGTCTCAGTCTCATCAGTCTCATGACGTAGAGTATAGACTATAGAGGATGAGATATATATGTAGTTTTGTAAAAATTCAGAGTTTCGGAAAAGTTTGCAAATTTAAAAGTCTTGGAAAGTTTAATAAATATTTGAAGTATAATTTTATTTGGAAAAGTCTCGCGACTTCCTATTAATAGTAAAAAAACATTGCCTGTTCATGAAAATTGTGGCATATAACCTGTGTCTTTTTTAGAGTTGCAATTGTACTCCTGATTAAGCTAGGATAGAGGTTATGTGCCACAATTCTCAAACTTCACTTCTCAATGACTAAAAGATTAGCACATTCTCAATGTATGATCATTGTAAGTTTTGATGCCCACCACAACAAAAGGAGAACTTATGAGCCAAAAACAACGTTTAATGATGCCCACCATAAAATTTGATTGGTGGAGATGTTTTCTAATGAATTTTTTTCTAGTTTAATACCTCAAATTCAGGGGCTGGCCCGGGATTCCGGGAATGGCCCTTAGCTACGACGTGCCTACTATATGCCCCTCGGTTGGATGGTCATTTAGAAACACTTCTTGTATGTTAAAAATATAAGTTTGGGAAATGTCAAGGTTTATATTCTTTATAGTAACCCAAAGAGTAACTAGAGCCATTGAATTACTGTGGTGTGGCCTGTGGGGCTTTATTAGGTACAAGAATTTGGGTGAGACCTAAACTTTATTGTGGTATTGGAGTGTTTACATATAATGAACATCTTTATCTCATCAAGGTTAAAAGATTTTCTAACTTTAAGATTGGTCTGCTTCAACGAGGTGCACTTTATAGGTAGTGCTAAGCAGCAGCATGAACATATGACTCAACATCTAAGACATAACAATTTCTTTAGATATGATCGAACACATATTTTAATGGCAAAACTATCAAATAAACCACGTCTACTACTTCAAAAAAGTCAATTGAGTCCTTCAACTAAAAAAACATCCCATCAATATACTTCCGGTTCCTCGTCAAATTGCATCTAATTGCATCTGTGGCGTCTGATGGGCCTTTTATCTTTCCTTTTTCTTTTCACTTTATTTTTCTTTTCCTTTTCTTTACACAATAACTGGTTAATCCATTTCTTTACCGGTGAAAAGGAGAATTCGACTCGTTTTCCTGTTCGTGGGTTTGATTGGGTGTTTTTTAGTTTGGGGTTTAATTGACTTTTTGGATGTAGTAGGAGGCTTATTTGACAGTTTTCCCTATTTTAATGGTTTTTGTTCATTAATTAGGAGTTTAGGACTAAGTTAATAAATTTATTTTGGGAACAAAGAATAGTCAGTCTTATTTGTGAAATGTTTTACTTCTATTATGACCAATTTCATGATCGCATTTTGCTGATAAATTTGTCCATGCATGTAACCTGTTGGTAGTAACTTTTGTTCTTTCATCTTTGGAATCGCAAAACATTTCAGAACGGCCGGAGGACCAGTAACACCTCGAGATCAAGGAACGACAAGTGGAATAATTTCTTCCCCTCCGGACATAACAACGATTCTTTTTCCTCCGCCACCACCCGGAGCTGCAATCTCAGTTCCAGGGGATGAAGTTGGAGGGAACGTTATCGCCTCACCGAATTCCAGTGGATCACAAGCTATTTTAGCAGTTCTCATAACAAATATCTCTTTTCTGTTCCTTTTGGCGCATATCTTATAATGTGTCTATGACTGGGGGAAGTGGGAATAGTGAGGCTTACCATTGAAGGCTAGGATAGTACAGTTTTGCTAGAAATGGAGAATTTCTTCTGCTCTTAGTATTATTTTGCGTTCGTTATAAGGCATCTTATCAATGAATTGAATGTCGGGAATCATGACTAAATTAAGTTAGGTGTAAATTTCCATTTATGAAGGTTATTTTTAGTCTCACGTATTTCCATTTATATGGAGTAGTTAGCATAAGCTACGATTCTTTTATGTTTTGCTTGAATGATCTAACTGGAAATGGTAAAGTAGTGTAGAGATCATTGATCCAAAGTCCAAACGGTGGAATCTCCCACCCCAGGAGCCCCACACCCCGACCTAGGCATGGACCCGGTTCGGGCCGTCCGGCCCGGGACCGGCCGGCCCGCCACTGTGCGGGCCCGGAACCGGCCCGGTTCTCGGGTCCGGGTCGGGCCTAGGCCCGGTGGGGGGTCCGGGTCCGGGCTCGGGCCTTGTATTTGGCGAACCGGCCCGGCCGGGTCGGGCCCGGGCCCGGGCCGAATTGATTTTTTTTTTATTTTTTTTCATTTGTTGGGGTTAGCCGGGTTGGGCTTGATGGTTAGGAGGGGTTTGGGGGTTTGGGGGTGGGGGGTGGGGGGGTGAGTGGGGGGGTTAGGAAAGCAAAAAAAAAAAAATTATGACCGAACCGGAGGCCCAGCCCGGACCCGGACCGGACCCGGACCGGACCCGGTGGCTACCCGGGCCGGTCCCGGGCCTTCCTTCCCAAAAAAAAAGCCCGGCCGGGCCCGGCCCGGAACTGGAACCGGCCCGGCCCGGGTCCATGACTACCCCGACCCGACAGGATGGTGAAGGAGTAAATCACGGTGACTCAGTCAGCAAAGTGGCAGTATGCCCATATACCTGTGTGCGCCAGAGGTCCAACCTATTTCAGAGGTTCTGTAACCTCCACACGGTCGCTGCGGGATTCAAACCTTGGTTCCTTGATCTAAATTTCCCACCACTCGACCAACTGAGCTACCCTTGCGTAGGGGTGGACTCGGGTCCGGCCGCCCGGCCCGGAACCGGACCGGCCCGGTACTGTTTGGGCTCGGCCCGGTACCCGGTCTTGGGGACGGTTCGGGCCAACTGGAACCGGTCTAATCTCGGTGCGGGCTCGGACCCCCTAAAATGTGAAACAGCCAGGCCGGTTCGGGCCATTTTTTTTTACTTTCTACCGGGTTGGGCTGGGTGTTTGGGGGGGTGGGGTGGGGTGGGGGGTTTGGGGTTTGGGGGTTATTTAGAAAATCAAAAGAAATTTAAAAAAAAAAATTGAACCGGAAACCGGCCTGGCCCGGAACCGCCGGCTACCCGGGCCGGTTTCGGTTCCCTACTTCCCAAACAAAAGTCCGGCCCGGCCCGGGTACACCCCTACCCATGCAGGTAAGTAGTGTATAGAGATCATAAAATTGAGATGTTGTATGTTTGGTATAGTTGTCCGCCCCGAATTCCATTAAAATTGCTCAGTAACTTTTTATTTTTATTTGTAGACTGTTAGTATCAAAATTTAAAATTTGTGTAGATGATTTCCTCCCGACCTTTCTTGAGTTTAAAATAACGAGTAAAGTGTCAGTTTGATCATCGAAGTTGCATAAAAAGACTCAAATAAGTCCTTATATAGGAGGTTCTATCCGGTCGTCGCCATTTGGGACTGTTCCCGGTGGAATTTTTTGATGAATTTTTTTGACCATCTTATTCATTAAGTCTAGTTCACACATACCAAATTTCAGATACAAATTCAACCGGGAAGACATTCAAATGAATTCTTGAAGATAACTGTGCAGTTAAAAGCGCAGTTATCTTCAAGAACTCATTTGAAGGTCTTCCCGAATGAATTTGTAGCTGAAATTTGGTATGAGTAAACTAGACTTAATAAATAAGATGTTAAAAAATTTTCATCAAAAAATTCTACCGGAAACCGCCTCAAATGGCACTTCCGGACAGAATCTCTTATATAAGGACTTATTTGACCCCTTTTATGCAACTTCGAGGATCAAACTGACCCTTTACTCTTAAATTAACTAGTACTTCACCCGTGCGTTGCACGGGATGTAATTGGTGGGGGATATTATGAATATTTTATAAATGAGTTTATGGATTTCTTAATATTAAAATATAAATTATCACACAAATCATTGAAATCATAAATACTTCTTTTAGACACCCCTAATTATTAGATTTTTAAATTACACAGATTGTTAGAAGACTTTATTATAATTTTCCTACCAGTTAAATATCACAAATAGAAAAGGCTCTCATATTATTTATAATTTCCCAAGTTTACTTCATCAAAAAAGGGTAATTCTATTCACAGCCACATAATTACTAATTGCAGCCACTTAATTAAATTTTAATAAAACAATAATTTCAAATATCTATTTTACCCTTATATACAAATAAGGAGTATATTACAATTCACGGATTAATAATGTGGACGACGCATCATCAGCATCCTTCTCTGCGCCCCTTCCATCAAGAATATCTCCTAATACAACGACCCTTCTCGTTCTGCCATCAAGAAGATTAAAGGACCTTTTAATGAATAAATCAATTTCACCTTTTCATGGACATTTGATGCTCCAATTCTGTCTTTCGCATGAAACAAAGGAGAAAGAGGAGACCAAAGTTCAAAGCCTCAGTAAACCAAAATCTATTCAGCGGGCTGCACATCTACATATTTTCATGGATAAAGAGACTTGAGTGAACTACCATTTTAATTCGAGCTTCACCTTGAAAAAATAAGGGACGTTTTTTGCGAAATCAGACTAAGCACCAAACTTTCATCACCGTGAATCTCTTTGTTGGATTGATTCCATGGAACCATCTACAGAACAAGATCGAAGGAGAATGATATATATTTGGAGATAGTGGCTGCGGTGTATTTTAGACCATTGCTTCTACAAAATCAGTCTAATCCTTCATCTTCTTCTTCGTTGGGAAAAATCAGACTGCAACATTAGCGGCCGCGGTAGTGCGGCGGTGTATGTGAGTAGAAGTTTCAAAATCGGTCTGCGTTTATTTGAAAGGACGTAATAGGAATTATAAAAAAGCATTTATCTTTTCCGGAAGTATGTGGGTGTGATTAGCAAATGTGCAACTGTGAATAGAATTACCCATCAAAAAATGAATCTAACGTAAGGAAACCATAAACGTAAACCCAATTGGTTTCAATTTTCAACTAAAGTATTATCAAATGGCTCTTATTCTAATTTAGTTCAATCCATTTTACTCCGTAAGATCTATGATTGGGTGGCCCAGCTACCCAATACTGTTAAAAAGAGTTATTTTTCAGATTTATTTGGTATTCTGATATTCTCCATATTAGAATTTAATTTGTTTCTCTTATGTATTTCTCCATATTAAAATTTAATTTGTTTCTCTTATTCCCTGCAATGCGTTAAGCCCTTAACAGCTAATAACATGAGAAAAAAATAGTTATCTGACTTTTCATGGACATGAGAGAATGTTTTGGTTTTGTTTCTCTATATTGAATGAACTTTAATGGTGCTAATTCAGCACCTAAGGATCATTATAAAACTCATTTCTCTATATCAGCAAAGTTACCCATGAACTTTATTATTTTATATATTAAAGGCTATCATTTTTAGGAAACAAGAGAGGCCTAAGAAGAAAAAAACTATATTGGCACCTCCGCGTCTTAAAATCAAATTTGGATGTCAAAGTGCAGGTTTAGGAAAAAAGAAACAATGTAATTGATCGAAAACTTTGGTTTTGATTTGGATCAATTGATTCAAGAATAAAAAATTTTCATGAATAGATGCAGTTTTGCTACCCCATTCGGAGTTCCAAACATTCAATTGAGTCAAAAACTAACCTACTAAAACTTTATTACATACATTCATTACCCCACTAACCCTTGACCAATCACACACAAGTACTACCTAAAGACCAAGTTGCCAAAATTACGTCTTTAGGCTGAAAAGGGGGGAAATGTGTCAAAAGAAAGACTCCAATTACTGAATATGTTGTCTTATTTATTCATCTATAATAGTGGAGGATAAAAACTATGATTCTTGCTTTCCAATTGGCTGTTTTTGCATTAATTGCAACTTCATTATCGTGTTGATTTCAATCTATGTGTGTGTAATGTGTATAGTAGGGATTACAACATTATAAATTGCAAAATTTAGAATCTAGAATTGCAAAATTATCATTAAATATAAAACTAATACTCACCTTATAATGTCTGTTGTACAGGTATTAACTAAATCACAACCAATCATCATATTATTTTAAAAACTATTACAAATATAGCCAGTTAGCCACACCCATTTCTATTTGGTTATTTTACCATGATCCTAGTAGACACTTATTACTAAATTTCTTTCATTATGTAGACGTAAAATTCATAATAACTCAATTTATATTTCATAGCATCCCAAAGAAAAATCTATTAGTAGATGTATTGTTTAATTTCATTGACAAATATAACAAACTAAAAGTTTCTTAAAATAACATTGTCACTGGGCAGAAAATTAATAGTTCTATTCAAGAAGAATCAGTATTCTTAGGGTCAAATAGCGAAGATTTTACCTTGGCAATCCCACAGCATTCTTTTGTGTACAATTCGGGCTGCCTAGTAAACACACAAGTAGGGTCAAGTAGTTACGACATTTATTTAGTTCCATGCTTCTAGAATACAAAAGATTTGGGGAAAACGGAGTTTAAATTCATAAACAAATTAGTTTGTTAAAGTAAAATAATATGTCCAAATATCAATAGCAGATGTTAATGGCAGAAGTAGCTTGTTCTAAGATTTATCTAGAGCAGATAAGTGAATGCTAGGAGGTATTTAATACACCGAATGTTATTAAATTAGGAAGAACTGACTACAGAGCTATTGGATAACAAAGGTACATATTCGAAGAATGCAAGCAAGTTACACAATAAAATAAGTTCATTTTTGTTGATTACTTTGATGCTTCAAAGTCAAATTCACAACTTCTAAATCTTTTTTCAAATGGTTTCCTTTTTCATTACAAAGTACATTTAAGATTCAGATTTTCCAAATAATATCGTCTTTGACATGCTCTCCGATTTTAACACAGGAAAGCCAATACTTCAGAGACAAACCGGCCGGAATTGAGCAAAGGTCAATATGCCATAGAAGTAGTATCTCTGATTATGCCAGCCTTTACTTTAAAACACTTAACATCACTCTATGTACTCAATTAGAGTTTGACGACGGTCTTA